TTTGATGCTGTTTGTTCCGAACTGTTAAATTGTTGCTAGATTTAAGCACTCAGCATTAAAGTGACTGTCAGTGTATTTCTAAGCAGCTTTTCAAAAAAGCAGCCATTGGATAGCCCTATCATCGTGCGGTTGCTGTTGGCAGTTGCTGCTATTTAGACTACTCCTGGGTGACACCGCTTCTCAGAAAGTGTAAATAAGGGAAGAATTTTGATTTTTAAAATATCAAAATGACCACTCGGGCGGCCCTCGTAAAAATGGCATGTTGTACGTCGCGCAGATTTAACCAAAGATATGCAATTCAGGATCGAAAGGCTTGGCATAGCTGCACTAAGACGTGTGATTTTAGCATGACGGATCCTCAAAAGTTTTAGCATTACAAACTTAATATCTGATACTTTTGATTAATAAATTCACGGTTGATTAATAAATAGTGTAATCAATAAGCATGTCACTTCTCGATCACAAACGCTAAGGTGCGTTGAGACCACGTTGGGGTACCTTGAAGCTCTAGGAGATTTCCGAGTAACGTTAAAGTCAAAACCTCTCCCCTATTCGCTTTTTATCACAGAGGGAGGCGCTCGGAAGTATTCCCACGGTAGCAGCAACCAACAGCAGCCACTCGCTGGCAACGTTGTCAGTGGCTGTCTCTTTCGAGCGCTGCTTACAGTTAATTTTGCGGTACTAAAGCCTAATATTGAAGGCTGTTATAATTATAGGAGGATATGCGATAGCTGGAAATCAGCAGCATTTTGTTACCAGCTATCTGGATAATTCCTTGGACAACGGCAGCACTAGCATGGTACCGTCTCTACACGGTAGCAATTTATCGTTAGCAACAGGGAAGCAGGAGCAGCAACCAATTAAGTACGTGCTCACGAACTGTAACGATGGTGCTGGTACCAGTAGCAACGCTATGGATAACAACATGCAAATGCAACGAGTTTGCATCAACACATCGAATGCTACGATCCAAGGTTTGTTTCATCTTAATCGTTAGACTAATTTAAAGGTTTTTGAAAAATTTTTTTGTCTGCTGGTGATATAAGTGATATTTTGTTAGTCGTTATTTTATTGTAG